ATAAAACAGCTCCCTGTGCAATTAAAAACCTGCACAGCTGAATAGTTGGCTTTGGAAAGCACCGACTGCATAATTTATCATGTTGGTTTATGAAGGGAGAGAAAATATTTGAGGACAGGAAAGGAATTTCACTGACATTTCAACAACATATCAAAACTATAGTGCACTTTATCATCTCAAGATTTATTTTTGCCCTCTCTTCCATTAGGGGGGAGCAAGAAAAGGTGTATCAGGTCTGCATCTTCAAAGCAGTTTCCAAAAGCAAATTAAGGAGGGGAAGGAGGGAAAAAAAAAAATGCTGCATTTTGCCTGGCTTCCTTCCTTATCAAGGGAGGAAAACCATGATGGCTTCAATATCCCATTAAGTGTATTGACATTTTTTCTAACCTTAAGTCCTGCAACTACAGCTTATATAAAGTCTCTGAAGAATTCCTAAGAGGAGGGCTGGAAAAAAAGACAGATTTAACATGAATTTAAGTTCATGTACAATGAAGAAATGTTGCAGAAAAAAAGCATTTTAATAGTTTAATCCTTTGAAAAGTAAATGCACACTCACACTAACAGTATATCTAAAGCACCTTTTCCCCTTCTGTTATCTCTGGTATCAGTACTGGACCACAGACTTTGCTATGGCTGATGGGGTAGGGGTGGGAAAAGCAACCCCAACCAGAGATGGCTGACAACCAGTGCTAATTAGCGTCAGAGACTACGCTGATCTGCTCTTGCTGAATATACACAGGAAGGCTACAGCTCACGGTGGCCCCAGGACATTATTCTGCATGAGGCTGCAAGAACAGGTACACTTTAAAATGTTCGCAATGTCATTTGCGATAACAAAACAATAAAAGATAACTCCTACGTATGAAAAGCAGACACTTCTAGAACATATTTCTAAATTGACTTTAATTTCAATCCTAGAATTTCAACACCTTTTGGTAGCATTTGAATTGACTTATCAGCAACTTGGTTAGGTTTATTTTGTGCAAGACTCCAGGATGTGCCTGGGGGAAAAATCCCATGGAAAATTTAGAAAAGGAAATTTATAGGGGTTCTTTATTCCTTTGACAAAATCACGTCAGAAAGACTGCAACCTGCACTAATTTTCCAAATATTTTGGACAGAATTATTTTTTAAATTGCACGTGACTCAGCAAACAATTTGATGGGTTAACTGAAAACACAAACAGGGCTTTTTTGTGCTCAAGTGACTCGGAAGCATTTTAAGTCCCGGCAAGTCCCCATGTCACTAAAGCATTTAGCAACACTTGACTGGAAGCACAACCTGTATTTAGAGACATTCAGAACCCAGCTGTCACCTTGGGCATCTCAATAAACTGTAGGCACAGATTCAAGATGCACATATAGACATGGAGTCTTTATCCTCACTGATAACAAAAGACTATCATAAGCAGCATGGGTGCCTTTATGTTATGGTACAGAAATAGCTTTGGTTGGTGCAATACATCTTGTGTCACAGACTTGGAAATAGGCTCACTAAGGTAACTGTGCTATCTTATGTTAGCAAATATGATCAATACAAGCAAAAACGACAAATCCTTTGGGGGAAAGGGACATTTCTTTATTATTTTTTATAGTGCAGGAGGACTCAGTTCATAGCTGAAGCTTTTGGGTACAATAGCAACACATATAAAACACTTCAGATGTCTGCAAGACTGCAGTCTGGATATATCCAGGATAACACAAAATTTCAGCAAAATGCTTGGATAAGGACCACAGCACATTGCACATCCTTCACATATGGCTGGGGAGGGAGAGTGCCTTCAGACTCCTGATTGGTTGAGCCACTATTTACCTATGCTAAATATTCAGATTTATTGAACATCCTCTTAAGGGTTTTACAAAGGAATTTTAAAAGTTTAAAAATCCTGCTTTGTGTCCCTAGTGGCCAACAAAACGAAAGCAGGATGAACTCATCCTGCCCACCCACACTTGCTCATATTTCTCAGGGCCAGCAGTAAGGACTTGAAGCAGTACATCTTCTGTTTAATGATTGTGCTAAATTATTGCAGAAAAGGTATAAGGCATCTGACAGTAAGAGGTACAAGTTGCATGCTGCAGACCTTCCTGCTGTGTTTATATCAGATATAGGTGCTCTAGCTGAACCTAGTTATGCTAGGCTGCACTTAACACAAAATGCTGTGACACCCTTAATTGGGCTAGTAAGTGTAACTGATTGTAAATAATTATAGTGTGGTCCTCAGGGATGATCGTTAGTAACCACATGTATGAAGCCTCAATTGGCCATATTGATCACAGTGCATAATTCTTCAGTTCACATTTATTTGCCAGGGATGCCTTTGGTTCAGCTGGATCTTCAGCACTTGGCAGGGGGTGGGGAGGGGTGGGGGGGGATGAAAAGCTTTCAATTCACCACACATCTTTTAACATTACACTCTGTTAATGCATTGGACATCAGATTATGCAATTAAAACATCACTGAAATAATTCTCCCTCTAGTAAAAGAATTTCTCATGAACACAAGGTTGATGGTATGCTAAAAAAACCTCCAAGTCACATGTATGCTCCATGCTGACATGGGTCATACTTGCTAATTCCAGGTCAGTGCTGAAAATCCCTTTGTTTATTCTTAATTACACAGAAGTATATTCTGCATTCTGGGCCTGTTTTGTATATCTGTTTCAACAATTTTTTTTCTTAATACATAACTTTTAGAAAAAATGTTCTCATCCTAAGGTATCAAGGTTAAAACAAGTAAGATGTCCTCCATTTTTACCGCTTCTTTTCCTAGAGTAATTTATATCCTAACATTCATAGGGTGATTCCATTAGCACATTTAAGAAGCGTTAGGAGAAGATCTTTTAATCATGGAGATAACTGTTTATGATAGCTGTCTGTTGTTAATTAGTTTGCAAGCCTTACACTCTCTGCTGAGGATGCCCAGAGAGTATTCCTAAAAACACTGTTCTTTTACACACGTACAAGCTGGATTCTGCACACAGGCATACCACTACCACCTGAATGTAAATAAAATGCCCCAAATACTCAACTTGCATTTAAAACAGAGTTGTTCTCACAAGCAACATTCTTTATCCCAATTCTGAGCAGCTGGAACATGTTATCAGGAGATTGCAACAGCCTGATTCAGACATTTGATTTACTTTTAAAACAGCATTTGCCAGAAGTACTGCTGTACCTTAGCACAGCATGTCCCTTAGTATAAAACATACCTAGCTGGAAGTGCCCCTCCTCTCCAAATAGGTCATGCAATGATTACCCCTAAAACTGTATAATTTGTCTTAGAAAACATAAAAAAAAAAAACCACCCTGAAACCTGAACAGAGCCCCATTCAGATTTACAAGTAACTTGAACTTACTATAAAATTTGACTGCAGTTGTGTATATAACATCTAGTTTTAGTATGACTTCCCAAAGGAATAAGGTTTGCACGGCCAACTGTCAATTTGTTCCCCCTCTTCCTCCTCCCATATACATGGCTGGACTCCTTCGCCCATTTACAAACTCAAAAAACGGCAAAGCTTTTAAATACGACTAAATCTCTCTAAATATACAGAAATCTGAAGCTAGAGGGAGAGAACACTTATCCCAAGCCATTGTGCATAGAGGGAAATGAGGGAAATTCAGAAGTTGCATTTCTGTTTGGCAGCAGTTGGTTCAGCCAAACCAGCAAGCGTACAGCTTCCAAGGAGCAGCAGCCCATGCTGCTGCTTGCACACTGGGGTGCATGGAAATTTGGGGAAGGAAGGATTTGGGTAGTGAAGGGTAACTCCTGAGTAAACCAGGCTTCATCATTTCTGCTACTTGCGTTTTGCTTTTCAGATCAGGCATTAATCTCCGGTCCCACTTTCATTAGTACAAATAATCCAGTGAACACAGTAACAAAACAGCAGCCAGTCACCTGCTTCAGTGGATCAAATCCCTAGACATTTCATCAGGCAAAGGAAATTCATTATGGTATGTTTTTCAAATGAGTCTTTTGAGCAGACCTTCTAAAAAGTCATTTTGGAGCTAACTCCTGCTGGCTTAAAGGGAAGCAGGATTTCAGCCTCTGTGCCAAGACCTTCCGCTGTTCAGCTGTGAGCACGCAGCCTGCCTCCAGAGCCCTAACCTTCCAATCTATGCCCACGAAAATGAGCATCTCACCCAAGTGCAACTGCCAGCACAGTGGCAAGAGGAAACAGAAGCTGTGTATCACCCAACACAGATCTGAGCCTGAACCTTCCACTGCAGACACAAAGAATTGCTAGAACCAGCTACATAGCTGAAACAAGTAACATCTTAAGTGAACAAAGTGGTTAACGCACTCTTCCACCCAACTGCATGCAGGAGGACAACATGGTTGGAACAGCTTTCTGAAGGCAACCCACTGCATTTTATCACTCAAGCTAAAACCCTGAGTCATGAAAACAAGTCAGCCCGGTGCATTCTCAACCAAATAGTAAGTAGCATCACTATCAGCCCTTCATTAGTTTTCAAAAGCCCTGGGGACTTTCTGAACTTCGATCAAGTTTTGGCATACTTCAACACAGTACATAATGACCGTCACCCCTTACACTGCCAGAGAACAAACTGCAGCAGAGGAGTGGAAGTGCTCAAAATGACACATCAGCAGCCATAAACAACGACTCAAGAGCTCACGGTTCTTGATTTGCTCAATCAACCAGAGGTCTGTTTTGAAAGTAAACAACACAGAAGATGAGCTGAAAACAGAAAATCATGCTGTAAAATGACAAGTCCTCAGACTACTTAAGCATCATTACACTCTTCAGTTATGTTTTGACTCAGCCTACAACGTGTCACTTCCAGCAGCACATCTCTGTGCTAAACTTGAAGTCAGCAACTACACAAATATTTCATGCCTTGTGTATTTAACAATCATCACATACAAGAACAGCCTGGACTTTGAGTTCACAGTTCTGTGAAACCTCCACAGAAAATCATCATTGGTTTTGTTAGCAAGCATTTGACTTGGGGTACAGAATAGAAGAAAACCAAACTCACATGGTGCATGGAACATCACTAGCACAGATGAATGATCTTTTATAAACTTGTCAAAGTCTTCATCAGTCAGGTGATAAACTACATTTTCTTCATCTGCCCAGGGAACCTCCGGAGCCTGTGGCTGAGGTGCCTGTGGGCTGCAAGACAAATAGACACAGCTTAAAAGGTAGCTAGCTCTCTGGTGCTAAGCAGTCATGTTGGCAAGTTGGGCTGCAAGGAACCACTTTGTGCAGATGTCCATATGTATGACACGCTAACCCTACTGAACAGCTTCCATAATTGTACTCATCCAGAACTCATAAGCATTGAAATGCAGATAAAACTGGAGGAGGAATAAAAAAAAAAAAACACAAGAAGCTCATGAGGACAGATCAACAATGGAAGGGGATGGAGTGAGGACATAACCAGACTGCTTGGTTATTACTTTATAGAAATCAGATGCATTTTCTGTTACTCTTTTACCCTTCTCAGCAGGATGCTCTCTTTCTCACGGCATTCACACTTTGTAGTTCACAGAAGCCATTGCAAATGAAAGAAAAATGTGTCAAGCAGGAATGCCAATCTAACCAGTCACCTTGAAAGCTGACAGCATGATTAGGGCCAACAGAGAGAAGGAGGTGCAGTGTTGGTACCATGAGCTAGCTACATAGACCATTTCCCCAGGAATATATGGTTTTACCCTGAACAACCCTGTGACCTGGAGAAGCATCATTATGTCCTCCCTTGGCAATGGGCTCGTAGGCCTAATTCAGCAAAGCTACTCATCTGCATGCTTGGCCTAAAAGGTAAGTGACATGTTCTACTGACTTCACTATGACTGCACATGAGTTTAACCACCTTTGATGTACCAGAGCCAGAGAGACAGCTCAAAGACATGGTGGCAAATCTGGAAACTGAACTCAAGCTCCTCTGGACCAGTTCAGTGCTCATCACCTCACTAAACAACTGTTCTTGGCTTTTATTAATGTACATTAAAAAGAGAATTCGGCAGATGTGAACTAAATTATGCTAATTGACATGTTATTTATTAAAGCAGCGTTCACATAAAGGACACCCAAACATACGAACATTTGGAGCCAGATTTTGAAGCTATTTTATCCTTGCCAGTTATAATAATGAGTTCCAAACACCTCCCAAAATTCCCCAAATACTTTGGCAAAGTACAGGTCTGGATGTGACCCCATCTCTGGTGAAAGCAGATTTACTATTTTTGATTAAAATGTATTATTGCTAGCTGCCTGGAACAAGGAATGGCAAACGGATGATAACTCATTTATCCTGCCTTGCTCATTTCTAGGCTGAAAGCCTAGTTTGATATAAAACAGCAGTAGAGAGATACACTGATTCAGATAGCAAATTCTGTCGATGTAAGCAATGGGTATGATCCAAGAATATTAAGCAATTCATGCAAAACTGTGATGCACACCTCTGCTGCTGCTTATATGAAGAACAAACCAAGAAACAAAAATCAAAGCAAAGATCAGAGCTGCGCTTGGGCCAAGGAGCCAAAAGAGAAAAAGAGGCAGGTCCCTGTCCACAGGAGTTTACTCTCTAAAAGCTTAGCACATAATCAGTTTGCTTGTTGCCAAGCCTTTAAGAAAGCAATAATCTGCAGGTATCCTGACAGAGTAAAGGCTTTCCAGAAAACACCATGACACTTAGTGAGTCTGGAAGGGGAGTTGGGTTGAGCAGGCAAAGCATGATGAACATGGACAGTGGCTACAAAGCACTGGGAGAATGCTATGTTTAGCAGGGCCTGACATGACCTATTTCAGTAAGGAATTAGTGAAGCAGGGCACAGGATGTTTATTCAAATGGCCCAATTTAAAATGCTGTGCATGCTAATAAACCTACACAGGAGTTCGTAAGAAGCACCTCAGAGGCCTGGAGGAAGCTACAAGCAAAATGTAAAATGTCATTTAGAACTAAGACAAGGCACATCCAACGCCTGAAGAACAAAAATAGGATGACAGAAGTCTGGAAGAGTTATTAAGAACTAATTCAATTAAGAACAGAGAACAAGTTCTTTATTTAACTGAGTAGCTGGTGCTAAGGAAGGGCCCAAGAGGAGTCCATAAAAACAGCAAGACAAAATAAGCAGCTATTGAAGGTAGCAAGAAGCTGTCTGGCTTGCCTACCATCCAGGCTGATACAGCTGTGTATCAAGTTAAAAAAAAAAAAAAAGAATGGTATGTAGAAGATAGCATCTCTCATGTTAATAATGCTGTGTGATAGAGTAAGGCTGTATGATGGTTTCTCTCTATTGCCTCATGAAAACATCTGAAACTCCAGAAGATAGTAGCCAGTGCCTATTAGAAAGATAAGAGAGGTTAAGTATCCGTAAGACTGATGCATTAGCACACTTCAGCATAAGAAAGAAGCACCTTCAATAAGTAGTAAAAGAAAAGGTATTGGAGCCTTCCAAACTAGCAGCTCTTGTTCTGAGAGGAAAGAACATGGAAAAAATTCTTTCAATAATTTAAATAATTCTGATTTTCATTAAGATCTATCATGCCCTCCCCAAAAAATTAGCATAGATCAACCAATTTCAGCACTTTACCAGTAACATTTAGAGGGAAAACATACAGAAAGGGGAGAGGGAAGAGAAAACAGTTGCTTTTATGCAGTGTGTACCTAGCATCCACAAAAAGTAGGCAATTTCATATGTCTCAATGTCTGCTGGATTCTTTTGAGACTCTATGATGACAGCACACACATGCACAGTATAAAAACGCATTGGCTTTCCTCGCTGTGGGCTGCCGTGTACACTCGGACACTTCCATGCCCCTGCTCCGAGCAACATCTCACATCAGTGCAAATTCCTGACAGAATTTTAATATTATACTATTCTGAAATATAGCCTACACACCCTGCAGCTATGTATTTACACTCTTCAGCTTTCCTAAAGCCCTTGCCATACCATTTCACTACTTGTACTCCAGATTCCTCAGAGTAATATAATATTATGCATGTAGCAGATTTACCCTGTATATGGTTTTAATTACAACAGCAATTACTGGCAAAATTCAAGTATGCATAATTTCTCAACATGGTTTCCTTAGAAGTTGTACTTATTATACAAAACAGGGGCAAAAATGCTACTGCTCAGATCATCATTTGGGAAACTAATAAGCATGCGCTAACACTAAGTGAGGACAAACAGCTGTCTTTAGCTCTGGACTGCTGAAGTATCAGCCAAAGCCCACAGTGGCTTGTTAGCAGAGATTATCACTGGAAAGAGCTTGCAGCTGTTCTGCTTTGCCTCCAGTAGCTATGTTCACTTACTGTCACAGCACTAATATAAAGGCACTGCGTATTACAGGGATTATATGGATATTATGTGGGCAGACAGGGGGGAAAAAAAATCCACCCCAAACATCTAATTTTTCACATGTGGTAGCCAAGAGATAACCACATCCTTGCAAAACTGAAAAGCATAATAAAGTACAAGTGATAAATTCATATCCTTGCTCCAAGGGCTGATCATGTCCTCAGCATTGCTGGAGTTGCCACCTTGGTCATTCCTATGTGAAGGCTTAACGGACTAAATGAGACTTAAAGACTCTGGCTAAACTCCTCTTCTTTGATCCACTGGGCTGTTCTCCCCTGCAGTGCTTTACCTCCCGATGCTAACAGGAACACTGCTGTCACTTCATTCCCGAGTTCCCAATCCTGAAGCACCTAGCCTACCACTGCTGAAGACCCTGGGCTACCTGCAGCCATTCACACGCCCCAGCACAGCCCCACTGGTACAGTAAAATACATTTACTCCAGTTTTGCTAAACCATATTATCATAATAGTTTGCAACTGTCTCTTTCCGTGCATTTGCTTCCTTTTATTAGCTTCATTTCAAGACTAGTTCCATGGCTGCAGCAAACAAGGGAGGGTTACAAAGATGACAATGTCGAAGAGCAGGGGCTAATTGCTAACAGTATTTCTCCATCAACAGACTATCTCAACGCTCTCCAGCTCCACTGACAATGGGCTGACGTGCACCAACTGAAGAGCAACTATACACACACACGCTTTTTCTGTGTCTCCCTCTCAACTGCTAGTCCCATAGGTTCATTCAACCTCCAAAATATTTATGACTGTAAATAGCTGTCTTTAGGTAGAAAAAGATGATTTCAACACCACTTCATGTCATGACAGGAAAACAGATTTTGTAGAACTGCACACTTAGCATACACATTTTTACTAAAATAACATAAGTCAGACTTTCTGCAAGGTATCAAGTTCAGGCACTGGAGATCACTGGAAATTTAAGTTAGCAACTTTAATGAAGCTGAGTTCCGTGTATCTGCATTTACTTTGGTTCACAGTCAGTCTCCTATTACAGATGAAATGCAGTTGTGAAATGCAAGGCATGCATGCCAAAAACCAAACGTTAGGCAATCTCCCTCTACTAGTTTAGCCAATCTCAGTGGGGTAGATATGTTTGCTCTTCCGAGCAGAGGGAACGAGGGAGAGATGGCTGTTCCTAAACCATTACATTCTGTAAATAATGAAGAGTACATAAAAAGGTGGAGTGCATGAAGTTCGATGCCTTACTTTTTCAGCCACTCTGCTATATCTGCTGCAGTAGCACCATAGTTCTCAAAATGGAACAGGAACTTTCCTTTCCTGTTAAAGCAACAAAACAAGATTTAGTCCCTGCCCTGGAAGATAAGAACATGCAATTATAGTCTACTGTACAATTTCTAAAGTAGGAGCAAAACATAACTTACTCAAAATAGCAGATTGTAGGATATCCCCGGACATTGTATTCTTCCTTTATCCTTTCAAATTCAGCAGAGTAAACATTCATCCCTGCAAGAACCTGAAAAAACATAACAATCATATTGATTCTTACAATACAGCAGGAACATTCCAACTTTTTAAGAAAGTAAAACCAACCAAGCTCTGGGCAAATTCTGATTTCATTCATATTGCTATAAAGCAAGAAGATCTCTGTAAAAGGCAATGAAGTTTTTCTGATTTTGTGCGACGGGGAACAGAGCAATATTTGAGTCTAGTCCACAGAAAGCACACACCAATCAGCTTGTCACCTCCTCCTTGCTCTGGAAGTGTCTCCATTTCTTTTTATTCACCCAGTAACAGAAATACCTAAGGAGAATTCTCTCAATCGCACTACTTGTGCCCCTCTTTGTATATTTGGATTTTAAGCTGCAAGCCTAACTAGATTTGTTTTTTCTTCTTCTGCAAGTACATTGCTTAGTTTGCACCCAAACATTAGCTAGGACACAAGAAGTTCTACCCTCTCTCTGGTTTCCACTCCAGCAACGAATTTACAATCACAGCTAACATCCAGAAGCTCTAACCAACCAAGCACTGGCATTATCCCAGTTCAGAATTGCACTTACTGAATGGCAAGGGGAAAACAGCATTACTTTGATGTGAAAGTAAAATGTGCCCTATTTCCATGATCCCAGGAAATACCACATAGTGTTTATATGCTGTAAGTATGTTAGGTTACCTAACCTGTACGGTACAATGAGCATTAAGAAGTAACCTTATCCTAGAGATATCAAGGGGGGCACAGAAGCGTAGTAACTTTTCAGATTAGCAAGTGAGAAAAAAAAGCCTCTCCTTCCCTTTCCTTACCTCTATCCTAACCCATTCTTCACCTCAAAAGCCCTCCACCCTAGGCATCAGGCTCAGGGGTCCTGTGACTTAATTTGTGCCCTGTCCAATTGTCTTCCAAAAATTTCTGACCTGAAAATTTGAAGATGGGACTGATTATGAGTTTCTGTGAGCGTGGGATTCATACAGAGGTTGTTCTGCTGTCAAAACTGCAACTAGTGAATTAATGAGATACCACTTCACGATTAACTTAGTTTAATGGCATTGACAACTTAAATCATTTTAGCAGCAGGGTCTTAATCCAAACCCCTGCTCCTTCCCCCTCCAAAACCAGGATTTTCTCCTTCCAGCTGAAATGCCACATCAGAATTTAATACCAGGTTCCTGACTGCAGCAAACTGCACAGACTAACCAAATGTGCTCAGAGCCAGACAAAATAAATCTTAAACCAGAAAATCCTCATTTGAAGGTCAACCTTTTCTAAGAATGTGCTGGAAAATCACAAAAGATACTTTGTTTTCTCTCCCCTATCTTAAAAAAGGATAAGGGAAAGCTAACTGAGGAGATCACAGAAATAGGGTTTATACTAGCTGGTCAAGTATCTTACTTGGCATTTTCCTTGTAGTTCCAACAACCAGATTGACTTAATTCATATGAGATTATCTAGATCCAGTTCTCCCCTTCCCTTATCCTCTAAGTCATCACTTGAGAATAGGTAAATGCAATAGGATCAAGACACAGTTGTTGCTTTATAAAGAGAGAACCAGGTTTGTCAACTAATTCTCTCATAACCACCACTCTACCAGATTTCACATTTGCCCTGAACTTTCAGAGGATTTCCTAGGTCTTCAGTGGGTGTTGCCAACTATTTCAGACACTGCTACAATTTTACAGTGTATACCCAGCCTGTGGCAATTGATACAAGTCAATAACTTGGATTCATTCTGGTGTTCATACATCATATGAAGCATAATTAGCAAAATGCCTATTACAATGGGATTCATTTTTAATGACAAAAGTAACAGCTTTAGCTGGTCTATAATCACAGAATTATGTAATATCAGGCTGTCAGGGACCATCAAAACACACCCAGTACCCAAAGCCAGTATCATCCCTCTATACCTAAATTGCTCTTGCCAGATGTTTAGCTAATTTGCTTTTAGCAAATGACTGAATGACCCTGACTTCCATTAAAGTCCATTAACTCTTGTACTAGCCACAGCAGACACAATGATCAGTTTACTCCTTTCACCTCTGCAGTGACATTTGACATATTTAACCACTTTATCTGCTCTCCACCAAGCTACCTATAACCTAAACTGACTCTGAAACTTTCCTAGCTGGACGTTTCTTCTGGGCTTCTGACCATTCCTGTCCTACTGTGACCCCTCCCGTGCTTCACAGCTTTTGTTGACAGAATTGCTCCTAAGTTGGTACCTCACACCACCACTTGAAGCCTTCCTAGGGCCAAGTTTAATGAACAGGTTAAACAAAGGCTTCCTTTATTTGATATATGAAATAAGTGTAGGAACTTCATGCTTCTGAAGTCTCATGGTTATACCAAAAAAAGACAAGCACCAAAGGAGGAAAGCACTTAACCATACGCTTAAACTGGTCTTCACTGAGTAAAGCATTCTGGCACACTCATGAAATCTGTGAGCACTAAGGAGATGCTGAAGTGCTTTGCTGACCACCAGTTCCTCCCTGCACTGGGCCCATAGTGCATCAGTGACCAGAGTCCACCCTGCTCACAAACCATCTGAATCTCTCATGCCTAAGATAAAATAAGCCATCCTCTTCCGACTCAGAGCCCCTTTTTTCATTCTGCACCAGGTATAATGGAATTGCAAGATCTAAACCAAATCTAACACAGAAAATGTCACCCTGCCTTCCTCCCAGTAACAGTACCAGGACGAGAAACAACCAATCCCAAGAGAACACAGCAGTCAGTGACAGGTACAGTTCACCTTTTCATTTTTACAACTATTAAATTGGCAACACTGTACTTAATTTTCCTGCTACATAATAGCAATGATCACTTTTGAGCCTGGCACATCCTGACAGCTAATGACAGGTCAGATTAAAAGGCTGAACCTTTGGCTCATCCAAACCAATCATAAACTTCCCAGCAAAGTATATCTGGAGGTTAACATTGCTTTAAGGTACCCCATGGATAATTTATGATGGGTACACTGCAGTTAACTTTAGAAATGGCAAACTGGGTACACATCCCACTCAGGAAGCTAATTAGGTAAAATCTAGACAAACAGACTGATTTTTGTCAAAGACACAGGCAGCGATGACATAATTAGACTTCCCTCTGAACTAATCCTGCACTAAAAACACTCCAGTGCAAAAAGCACCCCTGACCTGAGCTGCATCAAACACATGTACTGCCAGCCTCAGAGCTGTGCCACAGGCCTGTCACACAGTTGTGCAGATCTACAGAAACTATTTCCAAGTGAGGAAGGAAAATAATCAAAATAGAGCAGACCTGGAGTTTAAATTCTTCAGTCTGAATTTAATAAAACAAGCTGCCCATGGACAAAGAAAGGGTAACTGCAGGACAGCATAGCACTCTGCAGCATGCCACCTCTCTAGCACTACCTCTGTAGGTGATTCTTTACACTCTTAATTCTGGCTCACCACACACCTTGCAATGTATCTGCCATGCAAGACAGGAGTGCCTTCCCAAAGACTGCAGTGCACACTCCACTGAGAGGAGATGGCATTAGTGCTGCCTGGCTAGACAAAAATGCTCTTGAAAATATCTTCAAGGGCTGTACTGTGTCCTAAATAAATCCGAACAACTCCCACTTATTTCAGCCCTAAGCAAACAAGGATTTAGAGAAAACACTTCCGAAAAACAACTAGTTCCGAGAACACAGGGGGAGTGTGACAGCACTTGGTGCTTATGAGCAGCAATGGCCAGAGCTGCCCTAGCAATGAACTGCAGTGCTTCATACTTTCCTCATCACATGCTGCCTCTCCCAAGGAAACCTGTTGACAGTGAATGACCAACAGGTAGGATCAGACCAAATCCAGTTAAAGCCATGAAACAACAATCCTATTTCTTTCTTACTCATGTATTATTGGTATCATATAAATCAGGCACATAATAAAGCCTCGACCAGAGAAGTGCCATTGACTTGCTTAGAGAGATCAAGACACCTTATTAGTACAAACAGGTAGCTAAATTATTGTGACTGCTGTTGATGGATTTTACCACAGTCAAAACTTACTTTCATTTCAATCTGGCACGAACACTAACTTTGTTGTCAGAGCTACAGTAAAACTGTAATACTTTAACGTTTATGTTTAGTGGCTAGGAGGATGATCAGTAACTAATGTAGGAAAATCCTCCTCCCATGACACCGTGATTCTCCACTAAAAAGTGGATTAATTATTACTATAAGTGCATCCATTCCTGACTCTGCTATGAAACATCAGGCCAAAAAGCTGAGCAAAAACCCATTATAGCAAACATTTCTTTATCTTTAAAAAAACGATCTCAAAAGGACTACAAACTCACAAATTAGAGACTAAACATAAACCTACATAGTGTCAGAGCCTGTTTTTCCATGGCAATAACTACACTGGATCTAAAGTGCAAGTGAGTTAACAACTCATTCTCCAAAGTTTTAAAAAGACTAAAAACAGAGAGAATCCTGAAGGGATCTGGAAAAGAGTCATTTCTGGTTTGTTTCAACTTGCTTAAAAATTCCCCACTTTGATAAATATTTGTGGTTTTACATACTCTAAGAAAAAAAAAAAAGTGTTAAAAGGATTTTTAATATTTCATAAAAATCTTATCTTTTCACTTACATATTTACCCTTCAGTTCTGTGGCTGCCTGCTGATAAGATGGCATCATTCTCTTACAAACACCACACCCTGATAAAGAAGAAATTGTGTAAGTAATATGCCAACAACTCTTTTCAGCCTGTTCTACAAGATCTATGTTCCAAAGCGCATAAAACAATGTTTTTACACTAGAAAAAAACGAAAACAAAATTCTTTATCTGTTTCACTAAATAATTATTAGATTATTAGTTTCTAAGGATGTTACTACTTGTTACACGCCACTTTTTGCATGTTTTTCGTGCTATTATTTTTCATACTCATTTTTCATCCCAGTTTTGGAAAGAGTAACACCATCTTATATTTTTCAAGCTCTGAGCTGAGCCCAGAGGGGAACCTAAGATGAAACTCACATATTAGAAGTCTATGGAAGATGTCATGTTTGTGAATCCAATCAAAAAGCTTTGTGCATTTCTGGTCTTTAAGGGACAGGGCGAGGTAGTTCAGATTCATTGAATTTAACAAGTCTTTTAAATTCATTTCAAAAGCATTTCCTAAACACATTAAATAGACATCAAAAGTTAAACAGTGCTCTGTTAATTGAGAAGACATAAGTCAAAAGAAGCAACAGCCCTTATAAGATACAGTAATGTTATGTGTTGAGGAAAAGGTAAAAGGCAAGTGAGGAAGACCATCAGTGTATAGTTGGGAGTGTGCTAAAAGCTGTTTGATGATGCTCTGGAGCACTAAGCAGATTAGCAGTATATCACCTTGTAAGCAGCAGGTTTCACCTCTGCCAAGTAAAATACGTGAGTGCACATGGGCAGGAGCGCAGACAGCATGAAAGAATGGAAGCTGCAGCCAAGCACTCCAGACACTTCTGTGGAAACTCTTGAGTCCACCACGGGGCAGCAGTCAATGGTTTTGTTCTAGTGAAGAGACGGAAGTTTTGAAAATATATTTTAGAAAGGAGGAACAGATTTTGCAGCCACTGGTTTAGGATCACATCAGCATGCCTGGGAGGAACATTCTTTAATCAGAGGAAAGAGAGATCTTGTTTCTGCAGTTGTTCCACCTTTGATCTCTCTGCTCAAATTGCCAGTGAGGTTGTTAGTGCTGGTCAAAATGATGATTTCTTCGTGGGCACGGACCATTCATTTGAGGCCCACTGAGGTCTTGCAGCTTCATCCAAACCACTGGACAGACATCAAAAGATGTAAGTTATCACCATCTTCAGAATCCTCTGTTTCTTCTCTTCAGCAGTCTCAGGCCCCTAACGTGCCCAGCTATCTATCTCCCTCTCTTCCACCTCTTACCACTCCCTGGACTCCCTTCTGGAGCACAGGTTCATCAGCCTCCTCCACCCAGCCATCACCCCTATCGTCCTTCCCTTCCCAGCTCTGCTGGTGCCTCAAACCTGCTGCTCCCAAACCCGCTTCAGTACCTCTCCTGTCCATGCATTTCTGGGTTATACTTTTCAGGACACTATCAAGCCACATACATCTTTATATAGCCATAAAAGGATAACCTCAAGAAACGAATTTTCTTCTGTTCTTTCTTCTTGTATTTCATCTCAAAAGTGGGGGGCTTATTTAAACATGTATTCAATTTTCCACTAGTAAACACCTCCATTTTTAAAGCCCCATTTTCAATGATGTTTTAAACAGCTCTTTTTCGTTGCCCAATCTGGACCATCTCCTGCAAGAGTCTTCTTTGATAGGGTCAACTACAAATAAATCTGAATGCCTATAAGTATACATATTTTTTCATATTTAGTGCTGTCTGACTTTATAATATAGGTCCAGAAGTACAGCGAGTGGTCTCCAAATGGCAGGTAATATCTTCTAAGGAAAGCATGCCTTTGCTCCCAGTCATTTTACCCAGACCAAGCATTCCTGAAATATTAAAGAAACTACATTTAAGTTTGCAGTCTCTTTCATCTCCCTCTGCACTGGTATGTAATGAAAGAGCCCATTTCCTATCAATCTGCAACAATGAATCTAAAGTCCCTGCTTCCAACAAACCAGAGAAATAATGCAGCTGTCTACCCTGTAGCTTCCCAGACAAAGCCTCTGATGTCCTCTCATACCAAAGACCTCCAGGAGTCACCCCTTACAAGTAAAGAAAAGCAGAATTTCCTTTAGTGACCAGCCTTGATTTGCTGTTCCCAGTTATGAAAGGTAACACCTGTGTGTAACCAGTAGCTTCAGCTGCCCAAAGCCAGTATTTTAATGCAACTGCTGGATGTATTCTGCCTCCAGTAACAGGTGTAAGATAAATTGAACAAGAATCAAGTCAGAAGGTCTAGTGTGTTAAATAAAAAATAAGGGAGTTAAGAATTGCAAAATCAGAGGGGAGGGAAAAAACCTTACAAGTAGGCTTCCTTCACAGCAGTTTAGAAAGCAGCAAAAGTATTACAGCACTGAAGACTAGCAGGTGTTTTGCCACATCAAAAGAAGAGAAACTGGAAGGAGGAGGGTTTCTGGGGGAATGGTTCAAAGAGAACGAAGGGTTAGATAAGGCACATTTCAGGAAGAGACTCAGTTGTGGAAAACAATTATTCACAATACAGGTAAACTGTGAAAGCACTCTGCAGCTGAACTCTCCCTAAAGGGGCGATTTACAGGCAGAGCAGGTGTATCGTCTCCCCTTGATGCTAAGGCAGCAGCAGCAACTGGGAACGACCATGCACCATGCCAGGCCACACAGGACCATCCTGCTGCAGTCTGAAGGCATGGAGCTGCAACTGATTTAGTTAAAGGGAAAAACATTCTTAGTGATGCATCAAACTGAGTCTTGGGTAATTCTGGCCATCCTGGCAATACTCAGATGAGACTAAAAAGGTAGAATGGCATTTCAGGCAGTAATTACAAGCAAAAAATATACTAAGAAACACCTAATGATGCTGCCATGGGACACAGTTTTAAAGGGAATCGGCCAGCAAATTGCTAGTGATGTCTAACATCAATTTCTCTATCAGGGCAGCACTGGGAAGCTTTTCTAGCTTAGGTCACACATTCCTTCCTTCCTCATGACTCCCCCTGCCTTCCATCTGAGCAACAACTCCAGTGCAACACACTTGTTTTGAAGCACCGGAAAGTCTCTCACATACCAGTCACCCAGAAACACAAAAAAGCAGTTGTAAATCTGCAAAATTAAGGTACAAGTGGTCAATGCAATCACAAGATAGCACCAATACAAGGTCAAGATCACAAAAGAAATGCAATGACTCCAATACACTCTTCTCTTTCCTTCCTGCCCCCTGCATGTAATCCCACTTGTATTCAAGTTACTTCTGACAGTGAGGGTAGGAACACCCAGGGTGACTCCTGGATGGAGTATTCCTTCTCCTGACCACTGCACTGTTCCCTCTGCCTGCAGTTGGGAAGAACAAATACATGGTTCTTTTTCAACTCCATGGGCTCCTCTGGAGATCCTTTGCTCGTGTGGAACCAGCTTGTCTTATGCTATGGTCCGAACTGCAAAAGTAAAAACCGTGTGCAATACTCATTTGCAATTACAGCTCTGTACAGGCCAGAGGGCTAGGCACTCTCAGACAAATATATTAACACTTATGCACTCAGCATACAGTGTCTGTCTTGTACAGCACAAATCTAGAAAGGACAACGGGTAAAGAAATTACAGAAAGTAGTTGGCTTAGGAGAACAATGAGCAAGAGTCATCATCACAAGAGAAAGAGACAAACTAGGATACAAATGATGGGCAACTAGGGGAAAACTGAGGACAAACAGGCAGAACAGAAGGAGTTGACAAAGGTGGGACAAGATGGTATTAGTGAAGCACAGGTGAGGCTTCTAGACAGACTTGGAACATCTCTCAGTGGAGAAGGAAAAGAGAGGTGACAGGACATGCTGGGTTACTTACATGGGGCATAGAACATCATCAGAAGGGGTTTGTCTTCCTTCTTCAGAAGCCTTCTCAATTCCTAGTGAATGAACCAAAGAAAATAAAAACATACCTATACCCAATAATATCTCTTATTATTTGCGTTATAACTTTAAAAAGTTAATATATGTATTCATAGAATATAGGCCAATGTATCTGAGGAAAGAAGGGTCATCTTTCCTAACAGACAAGGACTTGAGTTTCTTCTCCTTTATCAATTTTAACTTGAGAGGAGATAGAAAAATTTATTATAGATTTGAGCATCTGCTAAATATCCTAGACCAGTATCTTCACTGTTGAGATGTGGAAGTTGCATGGCTTGGTTTATTCTCAGTGCAGAATCTCTAACTGGAAGCTTTTTCTTCCCTGACCCATTCAAAAATCTATTCAAAAAGTTAGACTCAATAATAAACAAAACAAGTTCCGTTTCCACACTATGAAACCTTTTCGAAGCCAGAAGAAAAGATTTTTCAGTACCAGCATGATTGAGAAACCAATGAAGTTTTCAAATTGAATGCAACCCTTGGAAGGCTTGTAATAGAGTACAGAAGGTGAACATTAAAAATTAATCTTTCTACAAAAACTGAATGTCAAAATAACTGTTTCTAATATTAAAAATGAAAGCTAGAAAATTGAAAAGGCCCTTTACAAAATACCAGCTAGGGTCCAATCACTTAAAGTTTTAAAAATGTACAGACTAGAAAACTAATACAAAAGATCAAGCTGATTATATTAGAGAGAATATAATGGGTAGCTCTGTGGTGGCACTGGCTTTTTAAGGTAGTTTCATTGTATTCACTGCTTTTCCACTTCACACTGAGAGGACAGTTACTGTACAGGTTAAATCACTCAAGATCTGGATCCTGCTCCAGACTTCCTGAGACAACCTCAGGCATGAGGGAACCCAAGGTTTTACAACCACCTGCAGTTTTAAGAGAAGCATTTTACCTCCTAATTGTTTCCTGCAGTGACTGCATCTTGCAAGCTGCTACACTTTCCTGAAACAAATAGATCTCTTCTGTCACACCATCCACAATGCTTTGATACTTGCCATGTAACTGGCAGACTAATATCATGACCACATGTAGGGGAGAGGAAGGTGGGATGCAGGAGACTTTACTCTATAGTTATCACAATCCACAAACTTGAGTGTTTTAAACTTCCCTCCCAAAGAAAGGAAATACTGGTGCTTCATTAAGAGTTAGCACAAAACATACACAGTCCCTTCATCCCATATATTTATAAAACATAGAACATCTATCCAGCTAATGTACCTTTTCACTGTCAACATGCACAACATCTTTGGCTTCAGGATCCTCCTCCCATAGTGGAGCACCTTCTGGATCCTTGAGAAAGGCCACCATGGACTGTAATAGACAGGGAAAAAAGCTTTTAAAGCAAAATTAATGGAAAGCACAAGGCATCCAACCTCAAATCCATGCTGTCACACAAACCCCATCCAATTAGTGCCTTTGCTTTTCTGCTCATACTCATATGCTCTAATGCAGACAAACACAACTCTTCTATTGCAGAATCAAATGATACATGGGTGTGTACCTTCCTCATAACTGATATCCCAACTTACCAGTTCCCATTTCCACTATAAAACTGGGGAAAACAGTGTGGAAGTAGACCAGCACAGACAGTAGCTTCAAGGATCCTTCAGAGAGCTCTTTCAATGGTACCAGACCTGCAATACTTCCACAGCTACTCCCCTCTTAGCAGGAAAGATTTCTATTTATGTAGAGGGCAGGTTCCCATGCCCTTCACCATATCTGAGTAACCTCTGAACGCAGTAGGACTAGTTGGAAGACACACTGATACTCGCCGTGAGAAAAAGCAGTGAACTCCATACTTAAAGATCAAACTGTTTGTTTGGTCAAAGGAAGAATAATCCACCAATAGTTCCCTCCATGACACATCTACCTAGAAACTGCACTCAACAGATTTTTAAGTAGGAAAGTAAGAAGCAAACGTGACAAGAGAAGTGGGAAATACGAGACCGTGTAATTCTGCAGCTCCCACATTCAACAAGCTCAGTACACATGCATGCATACTTTATAAATGCTTCACCCAACTGACATATAATCAACAATCCATTTCAGCAGACCACAGATATTCTCTCTGATGGTTCTGATTTCAGCCTGAGTGAAACTCCAGCCTTCTGAAGTCAATGAGATGCTCTCTATGGATTCCAGCAGTCACACTGCCCCGCATTTCCAGCTTTACATAGAAGCACAGGCTTGATCACTGTCATCCTTGGATGTCTCTGCTCTAGGAAACATCATACTTAGTATTCTGTGTTCATTCACCACTCAGATTGACCCTGTTTCTTTCTCTGTGGCATTGTTTGTAGGTACGTGTCCACCCCCAAACAGGATCTCTGCCACACCTGTAACATAATGAGGTCCCCAAGAAGCTTCCTTCAATGTATGAGTGGATGATGCTGCCACAGCACTAAGTGAACTTACTTGAAGTTGGAGCAAAGAAAACCCTCATTAAGGCCTTTTTCAGCCCATGGGATATTTTGCCAAAGCAGTTTGTGACTGAAGAGCAGAGCTGAGTATATGCTAACACACACCAAGAATATCTATCTAAAAGCCTAGGTTTGTACTCCATCTTCTCAAGAGCAGGTTTATCAGCATGCTTGGTGACACATGCCACTGCAACAGCCCCGGAGACACTTTTGTCACCTCTGCCTTTGGTACGGCTGCTCTGGTACAACATCCCAACAGCTTATCAACAGATAGTGGAGGTCAGCTCATTTTCCTGCATCTCAGTTGGTACTGCAACGCTTGTGAGGATTCAAGAGCTTACAGAAGGATCCATTTATTGCATTTATGTTTCTGTCTACTTGCACAGTTAATATTGAGGAGATTTGTCTTATCACAAGAGGCAGCATATATTAGTCACTAGGCAGCAAGCAAAGAACTTAATGTATACAGTAAGAAGACCTAAGGGGTGAGGTAGTAGTGTTGGGACTGCAAACAATTCAAGGAGAAGAAATCTGTTTTAATATGGCATTAGCAGACAAAGCAGCTAGCTAGGGAAAAAAAAAATAAAATCAAGTCATTTATAATGGAGTTGCAGTTGTAAAAAGCTCTAAACCTAGAGAAATTAACATCCCAAACGATGCCCTAAGAAGACTTGATAATATATGGGGAAAGGAGAGAAGAGGACAAAACAGCGGACACATTCTACATTTAGGAAAACTACATCAAGTTCTGCTGACTTTCAGTCTGCACAGACCTCAACTATACACTGGAGAGGAGGAGAGAGGGGTCGACATTTTAAACAGCTAATGAGTACAATTGACTCTGCTAGTTTCAAGAATTCCTGCATGCCAAGCTCAGTCATGTAGAAACAGATGTGGATAGAGAATGGGGCATTAAAGAGATTTAATTCATCCAGCCTCTTCCCCTCAGCCAAGACAGAAAAAATTAGGTACGTAATGTCTTCTGGCGGGAGCAGGCAGTACGTTGCCTTGCACTCATTACTCCACGCGGTGAAGAGAACTTCCTGTGCGCCTTTAAATAGGAAAGGCAACCCTGCAAACCAACCACAGCACCTGAACACAGAACAGCATTGGTCCCCAGGCTGCTGGGTTAGAGACCAGAGCAAGGTCCAGGCCACAGCAACCCCAAGGCTGAAGAATCAGCTACACTCCTGTCCTGCCATGCCATGGTCAGGACCTGCTTTGACCCTGCGGCACTGACAGCCACGCTGCGCTTTAACGTGCTGCCCAAACCCCTGTGACAGCTTTGAACCTTAAATGTCAGTTCAGTTGAATACAGGACAACTTCATCCAGCCTATGCTGCTAAAAGCAAGCAAATTAAGAGCACAACAGCTGGCTATCATATACCTATATCACAGGTTTTAACCTGGAAAAAAATAAATATACACACACACACAGAAACACATCCCTGTACTTCTCACTCCTTTGAAGTATAATGCAGTAGGGATGCTAATAAAAAGACTTCCCTTGATTTCACATACACACTTCTTGCAACAGCAAACTTGAAAAGGATTCAGAGTTTAGAGCAGGACCAATTGATTGGGTTAGTCTATTCCCCTTGCTAGTACTGAACAGATTTGTACTTTAATGAGTTTTCTCCATTTTAGGAGGAGAGTAAAACTCTCCCTGTACTTTATCCCCCAGAAAAGGCTTCATCATGTGATAAATACAGCCTGGCCTTATAGCACTATTGAGGATTAGGACATGGTGTGGCTAAAGCAACGTATGTACATGTCGGGGGCAGCCTGGTCTCTCCTTCTAGCAGCAAGGACGTGCTCAACTTGGCGTCTCGTAATTTGCATACTCTGTAAGCAAACTGTTACACCCCTGGGGCTAAGGACGATTTCTTCCAGGAGGGCTGGTTTCGTAACTAAAGATAAGCACGTGCTATAGAAACAGGAGTAGAAGTCGTTAAGGAGAAGAATGCTGTGAGCTAGCAGAAAATTAACTGCAGAAAAAGTCAAGCTGACCAATCATGAGCTCAACTTTTGTAATATGTATTAGGTGATTAACCATTGTGCCAATCAGCTTAAAACACGTGTCTCTCTTTGTCTGTTTGGAATATAAAATTGGTTGTTGTGTTCAATAAAGTAGATCCTAACTTGCATCGAGCTGGGTCTCCGTCTCTCAATCGCGGCAAATTGGTGACCCCGATGTGATTCGGGATTAAGAACCACCTATCTGCGTGGCATGCTGCGAGTCCCACAGAACTTTGAATGAGCTGCTGAAAGGAAGCAGGAGCCGGCATTAAGAATCCCTCCGGAGTTGTGAGGTGAGCTGTGGGAGACATGGGAAGTCAGGTGTCTTCCCCAGAGAGGGACGTGTACGAACTTATGAAAGCCCTTCTTGAAAAATATGAAAAGAATCTCTCTGGGCAAGATCTTAAGGTTATGCTCAAGTGGGTACAAGTGAAAATCCCCACTGTAACTGCTTCCAGTATATTAACGACTGAGCTTTGGGATGACGTGGGGGTTAAGCTGTGGGACGCGGCTACAACAGGGAATGCTGAAGCACAGCGCATGCTCCCGTGGTGGAGGACTATCTTTGAAACTCTGAAGGCTCAGGAGACCGTTAAGAATAAAGACACTAAAGACAGGAAAGGTCCCCCGGTCGATAAGAAGACCTCGGAGCCTCTTGAGGTGGGTGCCGCCAAGTACCCCCCAGAAGATGATCCTTTTGATCCAGGACCAGTGGACCCAGAGGAGGAGCCAGATCTCTACCCTCCCGATCCCCAGGACGTATGGGCAAATATTAAACGACAAGCTCTGAAAGAGGGGGACTTGCAACTTGCGAAAAAAATAGTCGCTCCTGTTATCTATCAGGGGAGGGGGGCTCAATGGGAGGCATTATCCTTCCCTGTGGTGAAGGAGTTGCGCCGTACTGTTACCGAGCATGGCCTCTCTTCCCCATATTTCGCGAGTTTGTTATCTTCTGTCTTAGATACTTATGTCATGACTCCGCATGATCTCAAATCTGTCGCACAGTTGCTGTTAACCCCCACACAGTATTCGCTATGGGAGTCGCAATGGGGGAGGGGACTCCAAACGCATTTTTAGGAGGGTCATGTAGCCTCTGTTAAGCCCTTTGTGCTACCTGTGCCTATGATCTTATGGGGACGTGATGTACTGTCACAATGGGGAATGGCTATTCAAACGCATTTTTAGGAGGGGCCATTGAGGTGCGCGACACCCTGAGATTAACCTGGAAAACTAATACCCCTGTCTGGGTGGATCAATGGCCCCTTCCGCTGGAAAAGCTTCGCGCCCTGGAAGAATTAGTTGATGAACAGTTATCCAAAAGACATGTTGTGCCCTCTGTAAGCCCCTGGAATTCACCTGTTTTTGTGATTAAAAAACAAACTGGCAAGTGGCGCCTGCTCCATGACCTCAGAAAAATTAATGACGCTATGGAAGACATGGGAGCCCTGCAACCAGGGCTCCCTTCTCCCACAATGATCCCCCGGGACTGGTCTCTGACAGTCATTGACCTCAAGGACTGCTTTTTTAATATCCCTTTGCATCCAGAAGATTCTCCTAAATTTGCTTTTTCAGTTCCAAGCGTCAACATGCAAGCTCCATTGCAGAGATATCAGTGGGTTGTGCTACCACAAGGAATGAAAAACAGTCCCACAATATGCCAATGGTATGTAGCCAAGGTCCTTAGCCCTGTTAGAACAAAGATGCCCTGCGTTTTATTGTACCATTATATGGATGATATTCTAGTGGCAGCACAACATCACGAAGTCATGGAGGAAGCTGTAGCCCTTGTCATAACTGCTGTTAATTCAGCAGGTCTTTGTGTTGCGCCGGAAAAGGTTCAGAAAATACCACCATGGAAATATCTAGGCTGGC